TTGCCTTCGGATTCTCTTTTCACAATTACCTTCGTAGCTCCTCATCGCATCTTGCTTTGGGATTCTCTCATTGCAGTCACTGGGGGAGCTCCACTTTGATTTTCTCTATTGGATATCCTCATCATGCCTCAGTGTTTCTTTCACTCATCCTGCTTTGTTGTAGGAGCTTCATATTCTACATTACTCTAGGAGCCCCTCTTCACATTTTGCTGTTGTAGCCTCTCAGAAAAATTGATGTAATATCATCTCATAACTTCGTTGTGTGTGAGTCCATCATTGCAATCGCCATGGAGTTCCTCATCTCAGCTCGTGGTGGGTGCACCTCATTGTGCCTCCCTGCTGGAGCCCTTTTTTGCATCTTGGTTTTTTAGCTTCATATCTCATTTGTTGTGAGAGCCTCTTGTTTTGTCTCACCGTGGGAGCCTTTCATGGCTATTGTAGTGGGTACCCTTTATTTCATCTTTCCTTCATAGACCATCGCATTTTGCCTTAAGATCCTCTGATTGCAATTCCCATGGGGGGCCCTTCTCACAACCTGCTGTTGAATCTCCTTATTGCTTGTTGCCCTGGGACTATGGAATAGTGCCTCTCTGCTGGAGCCCATCATTACATTTCATTTTGGGAGTCCCTCTTCGCACCTTGCCAAGTACCTTCCCATCGTTCCTTACCATGGGATCCCCTCATTCAATCGCCTTGGAAGCCTGCTATAGCAGTCATCCTGAAAGCCCATCACCACTCCTTGCTGTGGCAGCACCCCTTCGCAGCTCATTGTGGAATTCTTCATCTTATCCCATCTCACAGTGGGAGTCCCTCCTAGCAATCGCTGTGCAAGCTTCTGATTATAATTGCTACGGGAGTTCCCTCTCTGTTGGAGCCCATGACGACAATTTCTTGTGAGTGCCTCATCACGCCTTGTGTATGTAGCACCCAATTTTGCCTCTCTGCTGGAGCCCATCATGGCAGCTTGCCTTGGGAGCTTTTTATCGCAATTTCCATGGTAGCTCCATGTGGCATCTCGCTCTTGAAACCTCTCAGCGCCTCTCCATTGGAGCTCCTCATCCCTCCTTGCCATGGCAGCCCATCATCATAATTGTTGAGGGTGTTCCTTGTCGCACCTCTTCATGGGAGCCCCTAATTTTGCCTCGCTGCTGGAGCCTATTATTTCACCTTTCCTTGGAAGTCTCTTATTGCAGTTGTTGTGGGTGCCACTCACTTTGGCTCGCCATGAAATCTTTTCATTGCTATCACCATGTGTCCTGAGTTCAGCAGTAGCAGTCATTTTTCTCCTTCTCTTAGTATCTGGCACAGTGCTGTGTTTTTGACTTTCAGCCTGGGAACAATGCTGATAACACCACTATTTTTAATTATTCCTAAGTAATGTATACTCTGACCAAGGACTTTTTGAGTCTCATGCCCTTCTAGGGAGGAGGGGAAACCGAGAGGAAGCAGAGTCAGGACATCTGACCCAAACTAGCCAAAGGGGTATTCCATACCACAGCACTTCATGCCCAGTATGCAAAGTGGGGGGAGTTACCTGGAAGGGCTAAATAGCTGCTCAGGTTGGGCTGGGTATCGGTTGACAGGTGGTGAGTGGTTGTATTCTCTTCCCTTGTTATTTCCCTTATTGTTACTATTATTGGTGGTAGCAGCAGTGGTTTTGTGTTGTACCCTAGTTATTGGACTATTCTTATCTCAACCCATGGGACTGTTCTTATCTCAACCCAGAACTTCCTCCTTATAGCCAATCTAAACTTCCCTTTTTTAAGTTTGAACCCATTACCCCTTGTCCTATCACTTACAGTCCCTAATGAAGAGTCCCTCCCCAGCATCCTTATAGGCCCCCTTCAGATACTGGAAGGCTGCTATGAGGTCTCCACGCTGCCTTCCCTTCTCCAGGCTGAACAGCCCCAACTTTCTCAGCTTGTCTTCATATGGGAGGTGCTCCAGTCCCCTGATCATCCTTGTGGCCTCTTCTGGACTTGTTCCAACAGTTTCATGTCCTTTTTCACTTCTATGCATGTCATTTTTGGAGTTTTCCAGCTTTTTTTGAGTACTTCAGCAGTTGACTTTTTCAAAGTGCTACACACCTGGATTTTACTGATGTGTCTCAACACACACCTGGATTTTATTGCTGTGCCTGTGCAGCAGTGTGCTTTCTGTGTGTTACCTTCCATGTGTTTTCTTCTGGAACCAGCAGGTTGAGTTTACATGGGGTTTTTATTTTCCTCAATAGTCTTTTCAGCTCGGGGTGTCTTTTTTCTGGGGAATGTTACCATCTCTGTGTGTTCTCTTCTGTTGGTTTTACTCAGTCCTGGTTTTGAGGGAGGCAACTTTGACTTTGAGCAACTTTGTGCTTAGTATTGGTTCTTATTATTCATGATTCTTTCGGTGGTTTTATGTCATGTTTTGTCCATCTTTCTCTTATTTTGGATGGTGTTAGGAAGGTTGCTTTGGAAGCTGAAGTGATCTCTGTCTCATCAGTGGTTAGGGGGCTTTTCCTGCCAACATGGTTGAGGGTGCAGTCTGTAGCGTGTAAAAGGGAACTTTTGTGAGTCTGAGGGAGTAGTGTCTATCTTGTCTCAGTCTTTATTTCTTCTGTTTAATGGTGAGAGTCTTTTAGCACAGGCGATACTGAATGTTTGCAGCAGCAAGTGGTCACTGCCCTGCAGACACAGGGAGAAAGGGAGAATGAAGACAGCAGAAGTGTTGGCTAAGTGCCTAGGTGCCCAAGTGATGAAAGCTGAAGCATATGTTTCTATGCATTGGAGGCACGGGAATCCTGGGAAAAACTGCATGTCCCTGTCACCAAGGTGGCTGGTGCGAGCTGGTGCAGTTTTCAGTGATGTAGGCATAATGCTGTGCTGCAGAGGCAGCAGCTGGAGGGTGCTGTTGCCACAGGAAAGTCTTTTAGGCTCAACAGAGCAAAGTCAGGTCTGAGCTCCTGAGTCAGTCCTCTGAGAAATTTCATGTCGTGTTGTAAACCACCCTGGACTGGGGTCTTGCAGGTTGTCTTTCTTTGGTAGAGGGACAATGGTTAGAATTTCTTTTCCTGCTATTGGTTTATTAAGATGCATACTTCATTTTCTCATTGCCTGTAGCTGAGAATAACTGCTTTTTCTTCTCTTAATCCTCTCTTAGTTATTCAGGATCACCATTTTAGTTTCCAGTTACACTTATATTTTGTTTTTCAGAGAGCTAGTGTGAAGGAGCAGAGACTGGGTTTACCTTTGTTTATCCCTGGAGGAGCTGCTGCAAAAGGAAGCGAGCCTATGGTTTTGAATCTTTTCCAGAAGGGGCTGTTTCTCATTGTTGACAGAGGAGACTATCTGCCTTCCAGCTTGTGCTATTCTTTCTCTGTTTAAGCACGGCTTTTGCAAGCAGAGCATTGGATAGATGGAGTCCATATTCCATTCCCTCACTAGATGTTGTAATTCAGTGTAGGTGTGAAAGTGTTTCTGCAGGGAGGGGCTGGACAGGAGAGAGCTACCAGAGACCCAAGGGAGGATATCTCTGGAGCAGGTCCATTCTCCCTAGCCTAACTTGTGCGGGTACAAAGAAAGCCTTGCTGTTCCTTTTATTTCCTGCACAAATTAAGCTATAGGGAGTATGTGGTCTGGCCCCCTCCCTTGGCTGCTATGGCTGGACTGTGGCTTACCTGCTTCCCTCTGCCTGAGGGAACCTGTCCCTGCTGCACAGTTCAGCTCTTAAAGGGCATCAAGTGATTTTAAGTCTTTCAAATTCTCCATGGAAGTGCAGTCATGGGTGGCAGGCAGGCAGGCCCTGGAAGATGGAGGGGAACCTGTCGCTACAAAGACAGAATGAGCATTGTGGAGACAAAATGGGTTTTCTGTCCTCAAGAAGGGCTTGTTGCCCTGGGCGCCTGGTTGCTGGAGCCCAGCTTAGAAGCAGACATTTGTCCCTGAAAGTGAAAACTGCGACCAGTGTTGGTGTGTTCTGAGTTGGTGCAGACACAGGTTAAGGGCAATGTGGCTACGCGGATGGATGCTCTTATCAGGGAACAGGGGAACATTGCCCTTCTTCAGTCGGAATACTCCTCTTTCTGGGGATCCTGCTCACAACAAATGCAGTTGAGGGCAAAGCACAGCTTTTGTTCCTGCCCTACCCAGTGGTCCAGCCTGAAATACTGCTTTACTGATGGAAAGACCTCAAAATGCCAAAACACAACAAAGCTGCAGACCACAAAACCTAAATCCGCAGTAGACGCTGTGGTAGCCTCTGGTTTACCACCCTTTGCAGGGACAGGGGTGCAGTGATGGCTGAGAACACTGGGAGGGCTGGACCGGAAGAGCTCACTTGGAGTTCTCAATGGGATTTTCTGAATTTTAAAGTAATTATTTCTCCCCCTTTTTTTGGTTGGTTCTATAGTGCTTGGTGGGGACTGAGCTTTTATTTTTTTTAGTTTTTAATAATTCAGTCTGAGGTACATTTCCAGGTGTGGAAAATTGTCAGCTATTTGGCTTTGTTGCACCAAGAAAAGTCTATGAATATAAGTGGAATGAGTATCAGGACACTCTAATATTGCTAGCTAAACTCCTATAATTAGTACAGGTTTCAGAAGATAAATATGAGACCATAGTTTTGGAAGAAACTGTAAGATTTCAGGAGAAGTTATAAGATTGAGCCTCTTGATGATGAAATAATGCAATGCTCTGGTCTCTTAAACTTCTTCGGCAGGCTGGGAAGCAAATGGATTTAGTACTTAGCCTATTCGAAATGTCATTTTGAAGAATGATTTTAGTAATGGTTTTGTCTAACAGAGCGAATTATGAAACCCTTTCCAGCATGCATTTTTTAAGAGCAGCTAATGACAAGAGGATTTGGGCACTTGAATGGATTTGAATATCTTTTTGCCATTAAATTTAATTGGTCAGGCTGATAGTTTGTCTGTAACAGAAATAGGAAAATTCACATTAGTCACTTGGGTAGGAAAATTGTCGCCAAGGAAAAATACAAAAACAATAATTCACGATGCTGATATTGACTCCATGTTTACTGTTTACTCCATGTTTATTAGCAGGATTTGCTGCTCACTTTAAATTCACAAATAGACAAGTTATTTACAAAAGCCACTTACTCCAAAAGTAGGCTATACCACATAGTTTAAAACAGGAAGCATTTGTCATCACAATAGAAAAGACTTCATTTCAATACACAAAAGTCCATATCTTATGTGTAGTTTACATGAGTAGGTATTACTGCTACTGTCACCTGCTTTAGCATGATTATCAGTTTAACACCTGTTCTTTAGTTGCACAAAATCAGAATAGTAAAACAGCACTGAGGGAGGAAATGCAAACTTCATCTTGAGTTGTTGCCTCACATTTGACCAGACAATGAGCTACTCAGCCAGTGAGTAGCTTGCCGAAGCCTAGAGTCTGTCTCCATTGCTTGCAGAAAGACAGATTGTCTCATGATATCTGTGCTGTTTTGGCCCTACTTGTACTTTATTTTGAAGGTGTACACAGACTTGGTAAGATATCTAAGCCTGGTTCAGCAGGGTGGAATTTTTCCCATTAATGCACTATAGATTTATATAGGTCCCACCAAAAAACAAGTTGAAACACATGAAATTCCATCTCAAGATTAGAAAACATGGTTTTACTGTGAGGGCTGTTGAACACTGCACAGATGTTCCAGGGAAGCTATAGAGTCCTCATCCCTGGAGTCAGTCAAAGCCTAACTGGACAGAGTCTTGGGAAGCCTGTCCTAGCTGACCCTGCTTGAGCAGAGGGGTAGACTAGGCAATCTTTACATGTTCCCCACCTGTTAGGTTTTGTGGTGGATTCTGTGAAGAGCTCAGTGGCTTGAGGCAGCAGAAGCTGGCCTTAGAATGCCTCAAGGTGAGAGAAGGGAACAGGTCCCTTCAACATGTAACTGTGCCATTTCCAAATACATAATAGAGTAACACTACATAAAACTACAGAGTGGAATATTGATAAAATGTTCTTAAACAAGGTATCACAGGAAGAAACTTGAGATTTTCACTAGACTTTGAAACAGTATTTAGCTTTGTAGAGAATGTGCCTTTCATAAAAGCATGCTGCACATTGGACAGCAGAAAGCTGGTGCCCTGTAGACTTCAAGGAGCTTCATCATGAGGGGTAAACTGAGAGGCTAAAGAGTGACATGAAGCAAAATGGGCTTTTTTTTTTGCCATCCTTCTTCCTGTGAGCAGAAGGAAAAGGACACCAAATAGCTTAAAGGTACAAATGATAAGCTAAAAGGGGTTAAGAGATTTCTCTTGAGAAGAAACAAAGGAACATCATTGCTAGGATCAGCAATTAACTCTTCCATCGTTGTAATAGGCTTTAATGCATTTAACCTTTTTGTTTATCTTAAATTTTAAACAACTCTGAAATGAGTGTCTACATCCCAAATATACAAATGGCTGAAGCACAGCATCAGTCCGAGTTACAGAATTATACAGCAGTCCAGTGAAAAGAGTTCTGGTGGATGTGCATAGTAGGCTGCTTTTCTAGGACTCTCACCAATGGTGGGTATTGCCACAAACAAGGGAGAAGCTTCTGAAGAGGCATTATATGAGATTATAATGGCAGAAAATTTATTTCAGCTTTATGCAGTCTACTTCCTCTGTGACTGGCATTGCACTTGTTCTCAGATCTAAATCTGTGCTAGATTTGCTTGCACTGTATGTTGATCTCCATCTGAGCAACATGATCTTCTTGAAATACTTCATGGTGTTATTTTTTACAGTTACAAAACACATGGTGTTTATCATGCTGTTACTCATAGCAATGCATTGAACTATGTAAAAAGCAGTAAGATAATGCTTCTCTTTCACAAAGATGGTGGGGAAAAAGTCACGGACAATTGTGAAGCCATAGAAAGGTGCCCAGCAGAGAACATAGGCAGTCAGGATGCACATCAGTACCATAACAGTTTTTCTTCTGCATCGTAGCCTCTTTCTGATCTGTTCTGTCTGAAATCCTGGTACGGTTTTAAACCAAAGCTCTCGAGAGATCCTGGCATAACACAAAGTCATTGTAATCACAGGTGCAACGAACTCAATACCAAAGATGAAAAGGAAGTATGATTTGTAGTACATCTGCTGGTCAATTGGCCAAATTTGACCACAGAAAATTTTCCTCTGGTTTTTAACTATAAATAACACTGTTTCAGTAGCAAAGTATGCAGATGGGATAGCTACAAGTATGGAGACGATCCAGACCAAGGCGATTAGGAGGGTTGCTGTTTGATAATTCATGCGTGGTTTCAGTGGGTGAACAATGGCCAGATACCTAGAACAGACAAACACAAAGTCTGAAGACACTCTTGATCAAAGCACAGTTTGGAATACAGAGTGGACAGAGTTAGGCAGAAGGAAATTGCTGTCATTCTTAAGAGAAGGAGAGAGCCTGACAAATTTATCTGTGAGGAGAGTTAAGAAAATTTTCCAAAGTAGCAGCCAAGAGCCGAGTTCCTAAATCTAGGCAGAAACTCTGGAGCGAGTGGCTGAAGGTTGGGACAGTAAGTACTTGGCAATCCGAAAACCTGAGCATGCATTAGGGTGTCTGAGGGTAGCTTTAAAACTTCAGTCTTAAACTCACGCCTGTTAACAAGATCAAACTAGAAAAGTTGCAATTTGGTATCATTAAGCTTTTCCTTTTAACACAGATGACATGTCTGGGAGTTGTAGAAAGGGGAAATAGAGGTAATATGCCTGTTACTGACAAATATGCTTGCAGGACCGAGCACAATATGCAGGTGATGTACCCAGGATGTGCCATGATACAGCATCAGGAAATTATTTGCTGGAAATGAGTTTGAAATGTTACATAATTACACCTAGTTAGGTACAGGCAAAAAATACAAACATGTAGAAGCAGGAAAATGTTTTCCTGAGCCAGAGAACTATTTAAATATGCTTTTTCTTACCAAGGAGCAAAGAGCTGAAGCTGATGTTAATGAATGGATATGGGTGAGTGTGTTTTCAAGCCACCAGCAAATGATTGTGTATAATTTGTCTGCCCTTGGAAATTTTTGTTTCATGTATTGGAGGAGAATATTGCTAATTAATCTTAAATATGCTATGTTAAGTAATATGCCAAACCATAAAACTTGAGTTAAGTATTTGCACTCCTTATGACTGTAAAGCTGCAGGGTGTACTGTACTGGTTCACAAAAAAGTGAGGAGAAATGAAAGTACATTACTTGAAAGGTTCATCAGTTGCCCTCAATTCAGCTAAAAGGGGGCTAGGACCAAATGGCATTCACTCTGGATATTGGTTTATTTGTTTTTTTTTTGGTTGGAGTTTGGGTGGGTGATTTTTTAAGCAGTTATAGATGCAGTAAGAACTTACATTAGCGTACACTCACAAAAAGATTAGCATTTCTGCTAAAAGGAGCTTTTTTATCAGAGACATTCCAGAGTTCCCACTACAATTGGATTTAACACAACGGGTTTTTTCAAAACCTGGAATTTCTCGTTCATCCAGAGGCTATACATAAAGAGCATCCACAGGATATATTAATTCTAAAATAAAATGGAAAGTCAGTAGTGCTTTTCATCAGCCAGATCTTATAAGCAGATGAATTGTTCATCACTCTTAACAGTGCAGGCTAGATGTCAAGGGGCAGCAGAATTAATCAGCCTCATTGTGATCTGATAAATGAATATTTTTAGATCAGACCCTGTGGAAACAAGGTTGTGGAATAATGTATGTGTATGCATTCATAAGTATGAATATCTGCTCAGCAGAACTTTTGGCTGGATGGGGTAAATCTCTACAAGAGAGTCAGGAGGGAGCTTTTGTGGTAGGTTTTCCGATTCTCATTGCTTAGCACACTTGGGCTGTTACTGTGAAATGGTCCTGGAGCACATGAACTGAGTTGAGATGAAACTGCCTTGGAAGATGTGCTCCAAACTTGCGCATGAAACACAGCAAGTGCCCATGAGTATTCGGTCCAGGGGACCCACCAAAGCTCCTCTCCCAAATATTTACAGCATGAACTTTGGATCCTTAGCATGAACTCTTGCTCTTCAGATCCTGTCCTTTCACAGTGTATTATTTGCTAGTGTAAATGTGGCCTTAAGTATGCAAAATTCCTACTTTTCATGTGAGTAGACATCAAGGAAGATGAAAGGGAGCCCCACATGAGGGGAATCCTGTGGGACAGGTTTACCCTCTCTACGAAGGTGAGTCCTTCCAAATGGCATGGTAAAACTTTTCTTAGGAGCTTATTCTTTTTAGAGACTGAAGTCAACAACCCACATGACATAACCAACATGGAATGGTTGATTGTTAAATGAACAAGGTTTCTCTGTTTACCAAGTCAAAAGCTCACCAAAAAAACCCAACAACCCAACAAAAGAACAAACCCTGCAGTGGAACTATAACAGTGTGTTCTTTCAACAGACTTCACTGATTAATTATTTCCAGGATTGTTTTTAAAGATGCCTGGGGAGATACGCTGATTTGTTAGCAGGCATAAGGGCTCAGTGACCCATGTTACTTCATCATTCTGGGATGCACTAGTAGAGCTTTCCAAGAAAAGTTTTTAGAAGTTGAAGAAGATAAGTAACAGAAAATGGTAATGTGTACATGATAATGTTTAGAAGCTTAACCCTGAGCCCTCAGCTGCTGTTCTAAGGTTGTTAGACGCTTGTTAAGAATTTGTTTCATAGGAGCTGATTGGACTTTCTGCCACACCAGGACATCTCTGAACCTTCCCAGAGTCTTTCCGCAGACTTCTTTTGACATCAATAACAGCATAATCAGTTGCACACAGGCTATGACTATACAACCATCAGCAGGATTAACTGACCTGAGCCTTTCGGATCAGGTACCAAAAACTGTGAAATATTAGACTAGAGCATAAAATGGCACATGAGAGAAATTGAGGGAAAAATAGGGATGGGGGGGGGGGGGGAATCATACAGTACATATATACAGAGGGTATACAGAGATGTAGATTGTGTTTGTACACAAAAAATGGCTTGTTGTGATGTCTTTTCTATTAAGAGTTTACTCTGAAGGTCTCTGGCTTTTTATGATGGCTGTGGGCACCGAGGATCAGCTTCAGGCTGACATTAGTCTGGCACGACTGATGCGGAGTCCACAGTGCATGAGGCTAAGAGAGCAGGAGTAATAAGAAAGAATATAGTTACATTATATTGTTAAAATTCCTTGCCTGCAGCATAAAACTCAGGACTCATAAAACCTCAGGACTGCAGCATAAACCAGGTAGTATAGCAGGTAGATATCATTATGTTCTGCTTATTTCAAATCTGTAGAAAAATCTCTGCTAAACTGGGTTGGAAGAGCATTTTATCACTTTCTGGACAGTGCCATAAATGACCTATGGGTCTTTTGTGACTTGCCACTGTGTCATCCTCAAAGAGGTGTAAAGAGAGAGGACAGCATGAGAAGAGTCATTTAACGGAGAGGAGAGTCCTGGCCACATTCACTGAACATCCACTGCTGGGATGGAGCATCCAACCAATACCTCAGTACTATCAAATGGTTAATTTAATGATTGTTGGGTTTTTTTCTCTGTACAGCATGATAGGGAATAAGAACTCTTCTTTGCAGGCTGCACAGAAGTCTGATTTTTGGCTCTTTCACACCAAAACAAAACCTGTGAAAATATAATAGAGGGAGAAAGAAATATCCAGTAAGGCAATAACCCTGTTGGAAATTCACTTGTCAAATTCTGTATCACCAGTCAACTATTTCTCTTGCTGAAGAGTATTTACTTTACTGTTTAGAGTCAGAAAAGCTATGTAGGCCAGTAGTGAAAGTTCCTTACAGATGTATGGGTTTGGATAAGGATTATATAGTACTGATGAACACCCTTTCCTCTGCATGTTTCTGATTTGTCTGTTTGTTTCTCCTCTTCCCCTTATTTTATAAATCCTCTCCTACACTTGAATCAAGCATATTTTTATGAAAAAAAAGAACATTTTAATAAGTCTGTCCTTCTCACCTGAAAAGTTAAATCAAGAAATTTTCACCGAGCTTTCTCTGGAGGAATGTCATGACCTTATGTGATAAAATCTTTATTAAATAAGACACCCAGGTCTGCATAGTACCTACCTTGGCACCAGCAAATCCTGCAGAACAGCATACCATGTTAAAACCCCAGAAATCTGGACAGTCAACCTCAGAAGTTCTGGCCATCTCGTGTAGTAGCCATAGCACCCCACTTACCTGTCAACAGCAATAGCCAGGAGAGCATTGGTAGAAACATAGAGGGAGACTGTCCGTAGGTAGTTGACTGAGGCACAGAGGATGTGGCCATGCTCCCAGGACAGCTGCCTCACCACATAATAGTCCATCTCGAAGGGACAGCACACGATAGCCACAATGAAGTCAGAGATGGCCAGGTTGGCAATCAGCAAGTTGGTGAGGTTTCGCAGCTTCTTGTAGCGGGCAAGAGCAGCAATGAAGATGAAGTTGCCGATGCCACACACCAGCATGATGCCAACCAGAGCCACCCCAATCACAATCTTAGCTGCAAAGAAGGTTCTGGTTTTGGTCATGTCATCTTCACTGTCCAGTGGCAGGTCATAATCACTGTAGCTGAAATTGAAAGGGAAGGAGAAGTTTCGCAAGGAGGTTAAATCCCCATCGTGGAGATTGTAGATTGCAGCAAAGTTAGGGTTAACGGTGGCATTTGAGTTATGTTCAGCTTGCTCCATGGCCATGGCTGTCTTGTTATGGCGTATATGGCTTTGCTGGCCCTCGGTTTCGTATTGGAATTACCGAGTGTGGCAGGGTACAACGCTGGCAGGCAAGAGACCTCATCCAGAGTTTCCTTCTGAGCAGTGAGTCACCTTGTGTTTGTCCCCGTAAAATTATAGAGCAACAGCCTCATTTATCTCCTTCTGTGGGAGCAAAAAGAGGAAAACATTTCCTGAGAGGAAATTACAGAAAAAATACTGTGCTGGATCCAGAGCAATAGCAACATTATTGCCCCACAGCTCTATTGCTGGCTGTGTCCAGTGGGAAAAAATACTCTTCTGTTATCATAAAACCCCTTGAGTTGTGTAATGCACCAGTTGTTACACCCAACATTTTTATTTACCAATGGTGAAATTTTGTTTTCAGCACACAGTGAAATGATTATATAGGAGGAGTGTAAAATCCAGTTTAAACCTCCACCAGCCTTTAAGCCCACAGTGCTGTCATCCCTGTGCAAGGTAAAAAAGCTAAAATGAGATGACATCTCAATTTGCAGAAGGGTATCTGATGTGCCTTGTGGACGAAAGTTTTTGCTTTATTCTCGATGTGTCATTCAGATTGATGTGGTAGGTGAGAATTAAAACAGGACTGATGTCCTGGCTCCTAAGTACATTTCTTAATTAAGCAAGAGTTGCCAAGCCCCAGGAAAATAGTGAAGCCAGCACTTTCCTTTTGGCAGCCATTAACTGAGTGGGGGAACCAAATTTTCAGCCAGCATAATCCATTATTGCTTCTCCCAAACCAGTGGAGCTCTGCCAATTTGTGTAGACAGGATTTTGTCCCATGAACCAGCTTGTAGGGCTTTGCATCCACAGACTCCTGAGGTGAAAGGGAAAATCTTGCTTAAACAAGATCCTCTCCCTGTGAATGGTATATTTGCCTTCCCAGCAAAGTGCCTTGAACTTTTAAAGACTGGGAGGAACAGGCTTCCCCCTTTGTACTGCTGCTTACACCAAATGTTACAAATTCATTTATTTTCCACACTGATGTAAAAAAAATAATCTAACCTACTCCCTAATTTTGCCTCTTTAACAAAATGCTAGGAAGGCTGTCTTTTTGTTTCTTCCCATGGCACATCTAGAAATCCTCGCACCAAGCTCCCAGCTGGCAGGACAGTCCCACCCCATCCTAGAAGAGAATCGGGGGTGTTACCACTTCTCTGCATTGAAGCAGTAGGACTTCAGAGCGTTGGATGCTATCAAACAATGTCCAGCATGGCTACAAAGCACAATCTACATAGCAGAGCTATTGCCCCCTTCTTTCCCTGGAACCCTCAGCCCCTCATGTACCAATACTTAATAAATTTCTAAGAGAAACTCTCTGGTAACTTCTGTCTCCACATTGCTTTTCAAACTGAAGAGTTGCAGAACAACAGAGTAACAGAAAACTAAAGCCTGAAACTAAATAACAGTTCAAACAATTGACTGCTTTCCAAGACATCCCCACAGCTGCCTGGAAATGTGAATGTTCATTTAAGAGAAGTACTAAATAAATACTTGGATGCAAAATCTGTACATTGGTCAAAGCAAGGTGTAGCATCTGTTCCAGACAGGTTTCCCTGCAAATTGTCAAGAGAGAGCTTTAAAATAAATACAGGCAACACAACCATCCACAAACTGACATAACACAACCAGCTAATTGTACCTGCTCTCATCTTCTTGGAGTTCTCAGGCACCACGGGGATAGCCTCCAGGTTTGTCCCCTGCAAATGTGCTGCTGTCACAGGAGCAGAGAAAGGATCACTGGAAGCAGCCAGAGGACTTTGCTGAACGATCATTTCTCTCCCAAGCAGGTTTGCCCTGCTGCTCAGGGGAGGATGGCTCCGCTGGCTCTGTGCATGCATCTAAAGCCTTTTCTCAGTGGGAGGCACCTTGAAGCTGTCCATGCATTTCTGATTTTAAAGAGGCAGTGCGATATGGAGACAATAGAGCACAGCCCTTTTTTGCTCTGCTTGAAGCCCCCTGAATGCATCAATCTGGCAGAGTGGCTTTGTTACCAAGTCTGAACATGGGAGGTTTAAAATCCCAGTCTCCACTTGCTCTTTGACTTTTGTCTGTGCTGGGCAGCAGCTACCTACACCTGATGTGACACAGACGCAAAACACAGACCTCCCAGTGAAGAGGAGGGAGAGGAAGGAGGGTGAATTACTTTTGTAGGGACCTTTCTCTGTGTATCTCTCCCTGTCTATTGTCTTTAAGACTGCAGCTGTGGCAGCTCCTGCAGAAGGAGGGTCAAACATTTAATAGCTGTAAATCAGAGGACCCCTGACAGCTTTCCTTGCCCTCTCAGGGAATTACTTAAGAGTGGATGAGGGGCAGTGAATCCTTAAGGACTTGGTGTCCTTTGCTAATGCTGCCTCCTCATTGCTCTGAAGCGCTTGCACCTCGGGGGGCAGTTTTCCTGCTTCCCAATTCTCCAGAAAGAAAGGAAATGCACAGCAGATCCCCAACCTCCAGTGCAGCTCTGGGCTTAATCACATTAGATGATATTTTCCAAGGTGCATAGTTAGGACACATTACATCGAGCATCAGTGGATGAGACCACAGGCACTGTTGAAGGTTATGAAGAGCGTAGCACGTTTGCAGAAACCTAGCTTTCAGGAACTAGTGGACACATAGCTCTAGAAGAAAAAGAAGAGGAAAGAAATCTGTTAATATGAAATATGTCTGGGGTAAAAGGGCCATGAATGTGACATTTCTTCCATGAAACCTGTGGAAGGTCAGAGAGTCGCCACTATCCGGAGCCAGCAGACAGAAGTGAGAATCTCACAGTGTATACTTTGCCTACAGTGCAATAGGTGAAAGCCATCAAGAGAGTTTAATATCCTGAAAGGGTGCAACCAAATGAACAATGAGGAAATCAGATGCAGTCTGTTTTTTGAGTTCTGTCACAAAAATGTAAACATAGTAAGTATAGGGAGAGGCAAAGTGAACTTAATGCATACATCAGCACCATGTGTAAAAGATCACTAAAATGGGCCACATAAACTTTATATGTCCCTTAAGAAAAGCTAGTGCACTGAAGGGAGCCCTTGCAAGCTTTACATTAGGAAGATGCGTGATCTCTTTAAGGCTTTCTTCAGCTGTCTCACATTAAGTTATCTAGTGAGTTTATCAATCAGCATGATACCCAAATACTTATATTCCTTTAGGCTGTAACCTCAGCTGCTACAGAACTGTCTATCCCTATTGACAGGTAGTATTGGAACCCTTATAACTACAGCCCCTTTATGCTCTAGATTCGTGCTCTGTATGTAGCTTCTGTATGGCAGTTATTCATCTACCATGCTCTGAGTAATTTTGCTATATGTGTTAAGCTGTTTCTCAGTAAATACTAGTAATATTGTGAAATTATGTGATTTGAATGTGCTGCGCAAGGCAGTGCTTTGTAGTTGAATAGAAGTTGTTGAATGGACAATGAAACCAATAGTCCTGACACCTGCCCTTAGAGCCAAATGGGGAGAGTGAAAGGTAAAAGATGGGTTTAGAGCTTCCATAACTGTCCTGATAACCTGCTCCACTACAACAAGGGCTGGTGGTAATGGCAAGACTCTAAAGCCATGGGGAATGTGGAGGAGGATTTCCCAGCTATAGATGCTGTGTAAAAAGTCCTAAAGGCTGCCTTCAAAAACCACAGTCTCTTGTGACTTCTGGTGTAAACTGCTGAAAGAGCAGCTCCCTGGGGTGGCCAGGCTGCAATATGGGCAACCATCTTTGTCTTTCTGTGCACAGCTGGGATTTTCAGCCTACTGCCATTGCTCAGCCCTGAGGCTTTGCTGTCTACAGGTCTCCTCTTCCTGAAACAGGGCACTAGGAGGCTTGCGGAGACTGAGAGATCCGTCCTCACAGCCCATATGTGACATCCATTTACCTCATGATCACACTCCATTACATTTTATTTCAAAGATCCCATTGTTTTGTAGAACACATGATTCTGGTGTTGGAATTCTGCATGGGACATCCCTGGAAAGGGACTTTTTATAAGATCAAGTAGCAATAGGACAAGGGACAATGGCTTTAAACTGAAAGAAGGTAGATTTAGATTAGATAGTAGGAAGAAGTCCTTCATTGTGAGGGTGATGAGGTACTAGAACAGGTTTCCCAGAGAAGCTATGGATGCCTCATCCCTGGAAGTGTTCAAGGCCAGGTTGGATGGGACTTTGCGCAATCTGGTCTAGTGGAAGGTGTCCCTGCTTGCTGCAGGCTGGTTGGAACTAGATGATTGATAAGGTCCCTTCCAACCCAAACCATTAGGTGATGATGATGACAAGGTTTCTCCTTGATAGCATTTATTGGTGGTTCCCTTACGGTGTCATAAGTTTTGACATAGCATCACAATGCATTTTCTGAGACCAGTGTTACCAGTTTGATGAATTCAGGCTGAGAAAGAAAAGTTGATATTGAAAGCTACTGTGTCAACAATTTACATTCCTGTTTGTTTTTTTCATTAGTCTGTTCACAGTTTGAACGGGAAGTTATTTGGAGGCTAAATGATGCAAAAACATTGCGATGTAAAATACTTGTTTAGAGACTTTCAAATAATGAATTTCTAAAGCTAGCATTTAGCCTGGCAACAGACCTAAAGGACTCTGGCCTTTCATTTCAAAACAGTAAATTCACCAGCTACTGTCAATTTTTTTCCTAATTGCTAAATAAATTGGACTCTGAGTGAGGTAATTAATCCTAGGGGACTTACATAAGCTTTGCATAAAGTATAGTTGGAGTTTTACAAAGGTTGGTAATGCAAATCGGTTGGTGAAATGTGACAAAAGCATCAGGCATCCTGTGATTTTCTGGAAAAAAAACCCCAAAAGGTAGCAGCACTCATGGGTTGTGTATTTCTACTCAGTATTCTAAGCAGACATTCAGCTCAGGGGCTTTTCTACATCTAAGAGTGTGTAACTGACAGCAGTGTTTGAGAGGATACCAGACTTGCTTACGTAAAGAGTTAGGTATGTTTTTCTAATACATGAAAACATGCCTTGTGGTACTAAAGGAAAACAACTTCTGGATGGAGTTTGGCAAAAAGGTGCACACAGGAGTAATCTCGCCATACTCAGCTGTTCCGATGGTGACTTGGGCTGTGGAGAACTCCTGGAAAGGAGAGAGCAGAGATTGCAGAACGCAGGATCAGAGAGCAGGAGAGAGCAGAGCCATTATTAATGGATTATGTCATCATGCTACTTTTCTCTTACCCACTTTTCCCTGCTCTTTTACGGAGTGTATCACTTCTTGGCTTGGGAAAAGGGGCAAAGCATCTGAAGGAGCAGCAGTGTGGGTTGTCAATAGCCATAGGCACACTCTGCAAAGAGGGTTGTCAGCACTGTTTAAACAGCAGACATGGCGCCTTCATCCAAAAGGTTTTTCCCTTTCAGAGCTGCACGGGTTTCTGCAGACAGAGGCATTAGGGCAGATCTCACAGCCAGATGACACCAGGCTTAGGAGTGCTGCACAGAGCTTACTTAATGGTACAAGGTGACCCAGGTGAAATCGGCAACCTTCTTCCAAATAGAAGCCCCTTTCCTATTACTTGTTTCTTTTGTTTCACTTTTGAATTCTCCTCCAACGTGTATTTTTGGTTTTTGTCATCTTTGTTCATAATTTTGTGAATGTGTAAGAACAGGATGTTTATTTTGCTCAGCTCACTTAGCATGGCATTCTTCCGTGAGAAGCCCACCCCTGCCCTCAATAATTGTCTCTGAAATACGTAGAAATATCTATAAGAAGCTTATAACTGTCAGTTACCACCCTTACTTAGAGAAGCCCATCTTACCCACAGCAAAAATGACAGTATCTGGGGCAATGTAGAAAGCAGAGACGAGCCCAGGGACTGCGCACAGGTCTGGATGCCACAGTAGTTAAGACATGAATGACCACAGAAACAACATTTCAGTCTTTAAACATTCAATAGTTTGTTTAATTATTAACTATAACTCTTTTTTTTTCTTTTCCTTTATTTATGATGTTTTTGTTAGGCTTTGTGATGATTTTTTTTTTAAATCAGCCTTCCTTAGAGCAAATGCCTGTTACCACAAACCTTTCTCTGGAGCAGAACCCCCTTGAAAGGCAAGTTTTAAATGCTTTTCTCCCCAAATCCTGCCTGGGCACACTCATAGCTTGGTGGATACTGATGTGCCAGCTGTGGGCAGCAGCAGTGAGCAGCAGTGCACCGCCTTGCTGCTGCAGCTAGGCAGATGACTGCTGAGACAGCCTGCTTTGCTCCACTCACTTACCAGCTTTGTTCTCTGCTGAGACTCTTCCCTGTCACAATAGTCCCAGTCAGCTCTTAGGGGTTGCTTAATTTTAGACTACAACTCTTAAGACCATTTCCAGAGATTCTAAAAGGCCATGTCACTGTAAGTTCGGTCTGTCCTATGCCAGATATTTGGAATAACAAAGATGAGTGCTTGGAAACTTTTGCCAATTGGAGATAAAAATCAGTTTAGCAAGTTGAAATGTTCTGGTTTGATACTGGCCTCTAAAGGATGTTACTGCAATTACTTGGTATTTCTAGGAATGCCTTTTCAAACTTAAACCTTGGAGACTTTACCTGGAAACTGGGTATTTTCCTCTGCTTCTACCTCTGTGCTCGTTGTACAAAAGAACACTTACTAGTCCAGGTTTACAATTGCAGAAGGTAGTCAGGTGTTTTCTTTATTTCTGAGCATTGTTCTAAGAGAATGAAGTTGAAATAATAAGTAGCTCACACAGAACAACCTTTTGGAAAGAGGTTTTAGGATTATTCTCTAATCTCTTGTTCCCGGGTTGTGTTACATATATACAAATAATGAGTGACAAATGGTTTCTTGGCCTGTTGGTGAAGAAAGTTTGTAATGTGGAGCTCATGCCTTCTGTATGAAACTGTTAAATGTTTCTTAGTCGCACCAGATAAATTAAATTCCTCATTTTAATATCTCTGATCCAGATCAGAAGTCTGCATTTGGCCTCCTCCTCAGAAGCTCTTTTACTCATACCTCATATTCAAAACC